TGAATAATCTTAAAATATTATGCTGTAAGATTTGGAAAGAAATGCTCCAAAAAGTACAACCGTCTAAAGTCCTTGGTAGATCTACTTCATGTCTTTGGCAAGTTGAACAGACGGAGCTAGTTAAGGTGATTCCCACAAGGTTATTATCTGGAGATCTGAACTGCTGTATTTCACATTCTCCTTGGGCCTCTTTGAACCCCTAGCACACTTTCCCAAAGGATTCTTCCTGGCAGATCCCTAAGGCAACAAAAAATGCATTTATGGAGTGCAGGGTTGCAATTTTGCCCTCTATTCTGCACAACCACTGCACACCACAGACAGGAGAGCTACCTCAGCTTTCTCCAAAATCCCAGTTAAGGTTCCAGGTCTGCAAGTGTGTACAAACTTAACGATGTCCTGCTCGTGTTCTGCCTCAGGCTTCTGTCTTACACGTGTCTGGAGTCAAGTTGGAAAGATAAGTCAGTGAGTCAGAGAGTCAAGGTCAGGATAAGGCCTCATGACAGCATTCAAGGTTCAACAATATCCAGTGATCGCCAGGAGTGCTCATAGAGGTAAGGAAAGTGCCAAGACAAGCTGGGAAGTCACACATATGTCAGAGTCCAAACTGAGCTTGGTGAGGTCCTTGGCCAGATACAGGCACAGAGGTGTCACAGCAGGAGCTGTGACTCTGTTTGTGGACAAGTACTAGAATTTCAGCTTGAGACCTCCTCCTGCGGAAACAGAAGTTGGACCTGGTTGAAGCACTGTCTGCCAAAGTTCCCAGCAAGGCCACTAAAGGGAAGGGAGCAGCACTCAGCTATGCTATGTGGCTTGATCCAACTCTCCTACATCTGACAGCAGAGCAACACCTGGATATGGGTTCCTTCTGTCCAAGACCCATTTGCTGGGTGGTCCCAGCCCTGCTCAGTCAGCACCTGGCTGCTGAGCTGTAGAACTGCATCTGGCACTGTGCATTCTCCCAGACAGGAGGAGCCTGTGTCTCACCCCAGTCATCAGCAATGTTCCTTCCACCAGAAGGGGATCCACAGAATGGTAACAACCTGCAGAAGTGGGCAGGCTTCCTCGGTTTATCTCCCTTTCCATAAAACAAGAACTGGAGAGTACAGGAGGCAGAAGCTGACTTCAGTGCTAGTTCTCTGTCAGCTTGAAGCCATGACCATTCAGCTGTAGAATCCATACCAAGTGCCATTCCTGATGTCAAAGGAAACATGTGAATGCTCCAGGGAAGAGTCCTGCTGCTCTGGCCTGCACATGCCCTCAGGAGGGTCACCCAAGCACAGAATGATGCACATGTGCTCAAACACACCTGCATGGAATAATGCGAAGATCTGTATGCTCACACAGAGTCAGCAAAGAATCAAGAAGAGACTGAAAAGATGTGCAGTTCTAGGAACTCTATTGAGGAGATACCGGGTACAAGTATGGCAGAAAAATACTCAGGTATCCTGCAGAAGGATCCAGCCCCAGACAACTCCTGGTATTCCCAGAGGACCACAGAGACTGCACAGGAAGACAATGAGCCAAATGAGGCAAACACAATTTTTCTGAGCAGTTAAAGCAGACACAGCATCCAACCCTCCTAGCAGATGCAGAGCTATGTGCAACAGCGAGTGACAATACTGGAGAGATGGGGAAAGCAAGAGAAAATGATGTGTTGTGTCCCCTCACATGTCAGCCCTTGGACATATGGCCAAGAAGTACGAGAGCAATGCAATCACTCCCATGATCTGAGCATTCTTTCAGTCACAGAATTCCTTGAGTCTCTCATCCTGACCCTTGCGAAAGCTTTCATACAGGAAAGCACGTGGAATTAGACAGGAAATGAAAATGCAACAATGCAGGAAACCAGGACACAGCCCCTACCATTACCTGGAATGGTGCATATTTGCCATGAGCTGGTCACAAAATTATGACTTCTACTAAGGTGCCTCTGGGCCTGAGGCAGTGCAGGACTGCTATAAAAGGCAGCCCAAGTCTCTGTGCTCTCATCCACTTCTCTCAGCTCCTTCTCTTCAGGAATCAGGTGAGTGCAAACCTCCTCCTCCTCCTCCTGCTGCTGCTGCTTCAAGAGCAGCTCTTTCTTGGCTGTAGATCTACTGACAGGGGCTGTCATAGCCCAGGACTGGGAGCTGCTTGTGCTGGGAGAGGGCAGGGCAGAGAAGGTCTTGTGCAGACACAGAGAGAGGCTGGGACTTGGCTGAGGTGGCTCCTGGGCTTTGAGCTGGGCAGTGCAATGTGGGCCAGCAGGTGCCTCGGCTGCAGGGGCTTTGGGTGCAGTGCTGCTGCTCATGTGACCTCACTTTCTGCTTCTCCCTGCCCTCTGTGCCAGGTGCACCTGTGACCCCGAGCCATGTCCTGCTGCAACCCTTGCTGCCAGCCCTGCGGCCCCTGCCCGCTGGCCAACAGCTGCAATGAGTGCTGTGTCAGGCAGTGCCAGAGCTCCACCGTCGTCATTGAACCATCACCTGTGGTGGTGACCCTGCCTGGCCCCATCCTCAGCTCCTTCCCACAGAACACCGCCGTGGGATCCTCCACCTCCGCTGCCGTTGGCAGCATCCTCAGCTCTGAGGGAGTGCCCATCAGCTCCGGGGGCTTTGATGTCTCCTGCATCACCAACTGCTATGGTGGCAACAGATGCCTTCCCTGCTAAAGCTGCCATCAATGTCCTTGATCAAGAACCTCCAAGACCTGAGAACATGCTGCTAGACAAGAGATAGAGCTTTAGACCTTTGTATTTAAAATATCTCTTCATCTCTGGCTTCTTCTGTAAAGGGTAGCAGGAAGTGTCCATCCTGCAATACCCATTGTCTACTTCTCTATTTTTCACCTTCCTCTCTCTCCTTCTTTTGCTGTCCAGGTCAGCCTAGTGGGGCCTCCCTTCCTCTGTAGGCCAGACAGATGGACACCTCCACTGCAACTTTGCAGCTGCTCCTGATGCTCTCTCTGAGCCACTACCTTTTCTTCTTTAGACTCATTAAATTTGTTCTGCATCCAAGCCTTGACCTCGGAGTCCTCCTTCATTCTGTGGCAACTCTTCAGTGAGTTCAGGGAGAAAGGTTGTTTTTGGAGAGGATTAGGCTGGGCACTTCCTCTGCTCTCCCAGAGGAAGGAGAGCATAGGACTCACTTCACTGGGTTGTCTTTAATGCCCTGTCCCTTGGAGGTGAAGGAGATACTCCTGACTACTCCAAACCAATGATCACCAGTCCATGCAGCCTTGCTGCATCTCTTCCCAGGTCAGGCTGGAGCACTGCTCCCTGGAACACGCTCTGTGAAAGGGGAGCTGTCCAGCCACTGCTGCCTGTGCGTGAGGAGCCCACGGCTGCAGGAAGGCAGTGGATGAGGTCAGCAGCCCCTTTGGCTCCTGGGGAACAGAATTCTTATGAGCTTTTTCTGCAGTAGGCAGTTTAAATAGAGGATAACACCAAAGGGTGGCAGGAGCGGGGATACAAAAATATCTGGGAACAGTCCACAATCTCACCTCTTGTTTTCCCATTACCTGGTCTAGGATCCATGGCCAGTGCACACAGCCACAGGCAGTTGTACCACATATGGTCCTTCAGCACCTGGCAGGGCCCAGTGACCCAAACATCCCCATGGGGACTGCAGCTCCCCACAACCTGTGGCTGTTCTGTGGTACTTTGTCTCCTCCAAGTCTGGGGCAGCTTTTTGGGTCCTCTTTAATCTACACCACTGCCAAATGCCAGCTCTGCTCTGGAATGGCTCCTTGCAAGAGCAGTTATCCCTCCATCCCCACTGGATATTGTAGGGACAAAGAAATTGCCTGAGCAGTCCTTGGATTTGGAAAGTTAAAGCCCTATAGAATTAAAACTGGCCTGGGACATCAAGGGCAATAGGAAAAGTTTTCAGGGGTATTCAGGAAGACAGGAAAAATATGGGCCCTGTCTAGAATAAAACAGGAGACCTATCTACCCAGAACATGTTGAAAGCTGAGGTAGTCAATGACTCCTTTTTTTTGCCTTGAACTTCACTGACATCAGCTACATCACCTGAGTTGCAGAAGGCAAAAGTAGGGGCTGGCACAGGTTGCCCAGAGAAGCTGTGACTGCCTCATCCCTGGAAGTGTCCACAGCCAGGTTGAACAGGGTTTGGCTGATGTCCAAGTGCATGGCTGGGAATAGATTTTCCTTCCTCTAGCTACTTTGTCTAGGAGATAAAACCACAAGAGCAATCAAGTCTCCCAAGGACAGATCTCTTAACCGTGCTTCAGAGGAGGCTGAGGGAAGGATTAGAACAGGACAAGCCAGTCAGACACGTCTTTTTAATACCCATTCCAATACCACAATTAGTTTCAGCTCAGGGTGAGCTGGTGAAGCCTGGTGTGATCCATGTGGCAATCCTCAAGAGCTCCTTGACCTAGACATTGCTGTTTTCCCAAGCCCCTGAGTCTGGACCCAGGATGCTGCTAATGGTCTTTGCCTCCACTGCAGAGGCTGGGGAGGAGATATCCAACCTCATCACCACCCCAGCAGGCCACTACTGGACAAGCTGAGGTCAGACCTACATGCAAACAGTGCTGTAGGGGGAACGACTCCACAGGGAACATACACACAACTATAGAATAATCATCATTAAGACTGGAAAACACCCTTAAGATAAAGTCAATGCTGGGGGTATGCTGCCACTTTCATTGACATGGATATATTTGGATTATATTGCAATAATAGGGTCCTGCAGCTGTTAGTGGGGCTGTGTTTTAATTAAGATGCTGACAACTGTCGGTCACAATCTCCTATCCAGCTTTTGAACTGGCCAAAATGGTAAATTACATAAGGAGTGGGTTTTGGAGATAACTTGTCATATTTCCAAATCACCTACAACTTCAGAAGCTCTTTTTCACACAGCAGAAGTTGTGTACTGTGGTACATTAGCCATCCTTGAGTCAGGGAGTTCAGACTTTAAGGGAGCACATGCGTTGTATCCTTCAAGTTTTAGATTTTTTATCAGGATTAATGTCAATACTTGAACCAAAGGACCACACACTGCCATTGGTCAGGTGCCAGGTTCAAGTCTTCAAAACATCAAAACCCCAAATGTTTTCTTTGTGGTCTTTAAGTTCAGCTTCTCATCCGGGAGCCATAAATTAACCCCTGTGGTTTGGCACTTCACTCTTGTCCTGTTTGCTTCAGTGGTTTTAACTCTTTGCCCTCCAGGCCAGACACACAGTTTCTCAGCTCTGTTAGTAGTGAAATTTGTGCTCCCATATGTATTCCAAATGTCATTTTTTATGAGGACTTACACAAATAGAAATATATGACCATTAAAATCTATCTACTGATAAGCTTCCACTCAACTGACTGGCCCATTTGCCATCCAGGTGTTATTTGAGTTTTGATCTTGAACTTGGAGAGAGAAAATTATTATCCCATCTTGTAGCTGGTCATGGTGCCCAAATGTTTGGAGTATTTCTGATTGCTATTGCTGACTTTGAACCAAATTAATTAGAGTCTGGATGACCTCAGCAGGCTGCCTCTGAATTGCAGCTCTTGGAATGCCTAATGATAATTCTTGATTATATAACTCTCTCCACCTCTGAGCTCTGTTTGGACATTCAGTGGGTTCTGGTTCCCAGGAACTATTAATTTGCCCAAGATTGCAGCCTGTATATTTGGTTCCACCAAATAGGATCACTCATCTCTTGCCCATGGTTCATGGAATTGTGCATTAATGCTGCCCAGGCAGGGAGATTTCTGTACATTAAGTCTTCTTCCTGATCCTCGACAAGCTCCCTTATGGTCAACGGGGGGTTAAAATCTGTATCTCAATATTATCTCTTTTTGTGAAGAGGTAAGGTTTGAGTATGTCACAGTTTACAGTTGCCTAAAGAGGAACATTAAGAGCTGTGCTTTTGTATGGCCTGGCTGCAGTCAGCTTTTGTAATAGCTCTGGAGATTACATTCAAGGGTCTAATGGGTATTCACAGACACTCTCCTCTCTCCAACACATCCACTCCTCCAGCCCATGTGCCACCCCATGTGTTATGGAGTGGGGATGATCTGGTTGTTGATTCTGGAATCAGAATTTAAAAACACACCAGGACCCCCAAACCCCCTGGTCTCATCACCATTTAGTAAGCTCCCATCTCCTCCAGTTATACATGAAGCTTTAGAGTGACTACCTAAAACAGAGGCTAGACAAAATTAAGAGTATAAAAGCAAGTATTTATTAAAGGCTTTCAACAGATACGCCTTGGGCAGTCAAAAGCCTTGGAGAGGGGCTACACCCAAGATGGACAAAGGTCACGAGTTTTTCATATTATTTTAAGTTTGGTCAATACACATATCAGGAGTTAATCCTCCAATTACAGTTTCAGGTAATGAAGTCATATACCCCCAGTTTGCTCCCCCAGCTCACTTTTGTTTGTACTTTTTGGGGCCTGAGACAATGAGGTGTCCTTGAGTCCCAGGCCTAGAGAGGAATTGTGTCTGACCAAAATGTGAAGACAGTAACTAATACTATATATGGAGTTTAGAGTTATACACTAAAGAATTGCAGGATTACACATATATGAAAAATATAAAAGATAAAATCCTAAGGAATCAGTCATGCCTGCCACAAACATTCAGTTTCAGTCTGGAAGGACACACCAGGGCAAAGAGGTCTGTGAAGAAGCCAGAGGTCACAGCAGACTTGATGGAATTGTTGGGCCACCACATGGCAGTCCCAAAATCAGCCCCCAGTCTCATCACTCATCTCTGCCCTTGGCTCTGCACAGCCAAGGAGGGACACTGGCACACTACAGCCCCTTCACCCCACAGCCCCACAAGCTGGAGCTGTCCTTGGGGCTGGTGTTGTCAGCCTGGTGGTCCATGAAAGGCTGGCAGCAGCCCCAGAGATAGAGGCTGGGCGTGTGGAGCAAGCAGGAGCTGCAGCTCAAACCTGAGACCTGGAGGGACCAGCAGGAGCAGAACTGCTTGGAGCAATTCTGGCTGTATGGGAGTGTGAGCAGGGATCCCTCCAGGTGTCAGGGGACTATCACCAGTCTTACACAGTCATAGATACTATCTTTTCTGTTCCTTGAGTCTACACCAAATGTCACCAGGAATGGAAATGCATATGTTTCCACAGGAGACAACATAATGCTAAAATCATGGAATTATGGGATCATAGAATGGCTCTGGTTTGGAAGGGATGGTTACTGGAGTTGCTGTTTGGGTTCCTGTCTCAGTCGTGACATTCCCAGAGGTGGTTTGGTCCCTGCCATAACCACAATCCTCAGGCTGAAATGAGTCATGACTGGACCAGCACAGGGCAAGCCAAAAGCTGCTGGTTTTCACTGGGGTAGGCAAATCACCTCTCTGTCAGCTGCAACGCTAATTTACCAGGATTTTTAGCCTGCTGAAGTGTAAATTCCCAAGATATGGGAGGTGATAACTGCTCTGGGCATTGCCCAAACCCTTTCACACACCCTGTCACTCAGGCACCAGCCACCTCAGGGCATATTTCGCTGTTGTTTCACCTAAAAATTGTCTCCTCTCACACCAGGATGACACTGGATTCCACAAACCTGATAATGAGCCCACAGTGTTAATTAGCACAGCTGTTAATGAAGCAGCTCAGGTGAAGGTAAACAAGGACTTGAGGAACCTGCAAAACAAAAGAACTCATTTCACTCACGGATGGGAGGAGG